TATATATATTTCTTTTTAGTGTAAACTCGGCCGTTAAAGAGCTTACTAAAGTAGCTACCATTGTGCTATTCACTTTTGTGGTTTTATGGTATCCTTGGTTAAGTTCAATTGACTCAGCTGCAGAAGTATTCCACCGCCTCTTCCCTCTTGGACGGGGGGTATTTGAAGACAAAGTCGCCAACGTTTGGTGCAGCATTAATATCGTTTATAAATTAAGGTAAATAATACCCTTATATGTTTGTGAATTGTAGATATGTAATATTACATATTTTTGATTTTTTTTAGAAAATACATAAGTAATCACAAAATGGCATTAATTTGTTTTGGAACTACATTATTAGCAGCTCTACCTATTAATGTGCATCTCTTTTTCTGGCGAAGTAAATACACATTCATATTAACTTTATTTAATACAGCTGCTGCGTTTTTCTTGTTTTCATTTCAAGTATGTATAAACAATATATTATATATACCAAGTTAATTCAAAACTAACATTTTTTTTTTAGGTTCATGAAAAGTCAATTTTGCTTGTAGTCCTGCCGTCCTTTTGCCTAATTTACTGGTGGCCAACGGAAATGCTATGGTTTCTTAAAGTTTCCGTTTTCAGTATGATTCCACTCCTAAAAAAAGATAACTTGTTAGTTCCAACAGTGGCTCTAATGATTATTTTCCGTTTCACTTTTAAAAATTGGGTAACCAAAACTGATGATATTACTATATCTAAAAGGTATTTTAAAATGTCAATCGAACAAGTCTCAGAAATGTTAATGATTGCCACTTTGCTAGCGTTTTTATTAATAGAACCACCGTATAGGTTTCCAGACACTTGGCCATTAATAATTTCTATAATAAGTTGTGGTCATATATTGATATTTCTAATTTGGGGGTATACCAAACAGTTAACGTAAATCTCATTATTAAAAAACTTGATAAATCGAACATTATGTTTTTATTTACTATTTATTTACTCTTTTACCAGCATATTGAAATTAAATAATTATTGAATAACTGCTAATATTAAATGAGTCTTTTTATAGCCTGAACCCATTTTCAATTGGAAATCAGAGTATAATGGTTTTGTTGAAATGTATGTAACAGCCAGAAGGAGGCGTGGCAGACCCCATAAAGTATATATATTCTTAATCAGGGCGACGAGCTAAGTCGATGGTCTGTCCGTCCGTCTGTCCGTATGTCCGTATGTATGAACGCGTCGATTTCAGAAGATATAAGAGCTAGAGACTTCAACTTTTTTTTAAAATGTCCGTATTTACAGCGCGTGTATCGAGTTTATAATTAACAAGTAAGAAAACTCTAGTCGAGACTGCTCGACTACGAGATCCCCTGAACCCTTGGAGTATAATGGGTATAATGGTTTTGTTAAAAGTATGTAACAGGCAGAAGGAGGCGTGACAGACCCCACAAACTATATATATTCTTGATCAGGGCGACGAGCTAAGTCGATAAGGCCCTGTCCGTCTGTCTGTCTGTCCGTCCGTCCGTCCGTCCGTATGTATGAACGCGTCGATTTCAGAAGATATAAGAGCTAGAGACTTGAAACTTTTTTCCTAGGTCCGTGCATATTACACGCATATCAAGTTTTTCTCTATATATCGATAACTACTCCCGATATTTTATTATCGATCAAAAACATTATAGACACCTTTAGAGCTAGAGCTTGCAAATTTTATATGTAGACTTATATGTATTTTATATAATTTCGGTTTTTGTTGTAATTTACCAACCACCCCGATATCCACCACCTCATCATCACCTTTGTGCTTTGGAATGTACATACATTTGAACACTTTGATTATGTTCTGAAAGTTTCAATAAGATTGTACGTCTAGAAATTAAAATATTCAACAAATAAATTCTTATAATGTTGCCCACACCACAGCGCAGCCCAAGCGCAGTCGCTGCTTATTGCGCAGTTAGCAGAGTGCGTTCTAATACGTGCGTGTGTATGTATGGGTGGCGAAAAGAAGTGCAGAGTAAATATCAGATTAGAGGGTTCTTGGTATCTCCTAGTCGAGCAGTCTCGACTAGAGTTTTCTTACTTGTTTATGAATAGTTAGGTTCGCCTGAGGCTGTGCCGTAGACTGACTGACTACATTTGTTTATTTACTTCTGTACTATTGTATAATATGAGAGCACGACCGAAAACTGTCACTGTTAGTTTGTGGAAAGTGGAAAGAACTGAAGTCAACGTGTTTGCTGTGGGCGCGGCGTACCCAGCGACCTCAAAAAA